CCCAATTGTTCCCCCCCCCCCACCACCCCAATTGTTTCCCCCCCCCCACCCCAATTGTTTGTTTCCCCCCCCCCCACCACCCCCAATGTTTTCCCCCCCCCCACCACCCCAATTGTTTCACCCCCCCCCCCACCCCACCACCCCCACCACCCCATTGTTTCCCCCCCCCCCCCCACCCCAATTGTTTTTTCCCCCCAACAATTATGTCGTACAGTTCGATTATTTAAGGATGCTTCTTCAATAGCACCAGAGCTACAAAGCCTGTGCACTGCGCTGAGCTTCCTCGGACTCAAACTTGAGTTAACAGAGCACTTATGGGTTACTACCCCTGTGCCATGATGTTGATCCGTTGTTCAGACTTCAAACCTCCTTTAATGTCAGAGTGCATCTGCCTGAGAGGTAAGGAACCAACAATCTGCATACAAATAAGCCCGATCTGTAAAATGGATCTGCAGGCAAAACTAAGTTTTGCAACACAGCTAGAGTTTGCAGCCGCTGAAGAAAAAGAAGTTATTCTAAAACAATCTTAAAACGAAAGTAAGAAATTTAAACATGTGATTTTATTATATTCACATAATAAAACTGAGAAATATAATTTACAAATAATTACATAAATTTAAGGTAGCGCATCTGCAAACATTTTACAGTAAACATACTTTGGAATGTGTGAGAATAATTACAATATTTAACATTAGTGTGCCCAAGCTATTTTTTACATACATCAAAAACAGACATGACTGGGGGAAAAACTGACAAGAATTTTTAGGTTAAAGGGCATAATGTTAAGAATATAATCAGAGATCGATGGAGACTCACGTACCAGATTCTTATAAATTCTTGAACTGCGCAGTTTTCTATGTTTGCCAGTGTTTCATTCTCTCACTGTGGGTGGTTTTAAAACAAAATAAAAGACCGTTTTTGTGGTACAACAGTTGCACCATGGAAGAGACTGGAGTCTCACCACAGAAATATTCCCATAAATGGGCGTGGATTTATTACAGAGAAAGCATGATTTTTTTTTTTAAAACTTTCCTGGAAATAATGAGGAGGGAAAAACAATAATCAAAGATATGAACGATGGGCCCTAAATGTTTGTCAGTTATGGATTGAGGAAAAGACAAGCAGAAGAGAACAAACTATACAAACTGTTGTTTAACCCTGTCACACCAAAAATGACCACTTACAAAATTTCGTTAACTTTAACACAACCTTTTAATTTTCTGAAACTATTCTATGAAACTGGAGAAAGAGAAGTAGCAGCAGAAGACTTTTGGAGTCTTTAACAATTTTTATAAATACCCAGGGGTTCAGACCCCTAGTCTGCTGAGCAGACAGGCAAGTTTGAAGTCCAGAGCTACATCATAGTTGTCAAACCAATAGAATAATGCATGTTAATTATTATTATTTTTGAGCAAAATAAATAGTTTTAAAAATGGAGTAAAGAATTAACTGCTTTCCTTCCCTTTGACCATAATGAAGGTTTTTTTTTTTTTTAAACGCTTGGCCATGGGAAGCTAAAATGATTTCATTTGAGATTATTATGAGGCAAAGATGACGTCACAATGTTTTAAAATGTGACTACCGGGAAGCCTAATCCGGGGGGAGGGGGGAGGGGGACTGCATAAGTCAGATGTGTTGGCCAAAAGCGAAAATATTGCAGCCAAGTTGCAAACAGGCACAACACATTTATGTCTTCGAAAAGCACAAACAAGTTTTTAAAAAAAACACCATAATAATATCCCCTGCATGATGAATGATGAAGAAGAAGAAGATATACGATGCCGTTCAACATGCGGGTTTCAGGGCCACACTGTGGGGAAAACCAGAATAGACCCTCTGCTGCCCAAAAGCATGTCGTAAGAGTCGACTAAATGGGAGATCTTCCTTCAAAGTCGGAGTACATTAGAGGCAAGGAACCAACAGTCTACATGCAGATGAATCAGACCTGTGAAACGGATGTGCACACAACACTCAGTTTCTAAGACAGGGCTAGAGTTCAGAAGTGGACGAACAACCAGAACTTTCAGCCAGAGTTTAAAGCCGGTGAACACAAAGAAGATATACAATGCAGCTTACAATCAGTAACAAAGTTGTTGAAAAGACTGGGGCAACTGCCCAAAAACATCCTGTCATTAAAACCACGCAAATATCAGAAAAAGAATGTTCTCAGGATAACAAGGTTAACGTATGTGACATTTCTAACTTTTTGGTGGCGGTTTTTCTCTCTTGATTCTATATGTGTGACCTGGGCAAAAGTGACACAAAGTATGTACATAAATATTCCATCATCATCATATTTATGTGCCTTTAAACGTCACATAGGTAAAAAAGTAAGGGTCCCTTTTCAACGCCCTTTAGGCGTATAGGGCTAGACCTATATTTTTATAGACCAATCGGCACAAGATGGGTGGTGAGGTCAGCATCATGCCGGCCACCTTTACTTCCCGGGACTGCACCCGGTACCCACTCAAAGCTGGGTGGACCTTAGAGTCTAGGTCATTTTGGAAAAAAACTGGCTCTGCCAGGGAGCAAACCCATGACCTTCCGATCCGCACCCGAGCATCTAGCTGCTATGCCACGGCGACTCCCACGTCACATGGGGCTTACATTTAGTTGCTTCAGTCCTTCCTATTCGATGCAACACTCTTAATTTCTGACTTAGAATTCAGCGCAGCATTTTTAGCTTCTTGTAATAATGTTCTTTTTATTGTTTTCCTTGAACGTCCTATTTTCTCGGACTGTTTGTTTCCCATTTCAGTACTTGTTTGCAATTCTTTTCTCATTTTGCCTTAGAGTGTGCTCAATATATCTCCACCTTCTCTGTCTTACTGCATTTAAAACAGCTATTTGCCCAGACATTTCTCCGATCTCATTAAACAAAATTTTTGTTTGGTTAAGCCTATGGGAGTGCTCCCCAAGCTCTGTGATGTCGATTCTTAATTCAAAAACTCAATTTTGTAAAAATGCATCCCATTTTATGTTCATGATTTTTCTCGGTAAATTTATGTTTAAACGCATTTCATTTTCGTTCCATATCTATGGGAATTCTCACATTTTTGTGGGTGTATGTTAGAACTGAAATAACGCTATAACTAAAGATCTGTAGTTTGGCCTTAAAGCTGTATAACTTATTTCCATATTTTGAGATATTTACAAATTATTTACACGTACAAGCACATAAAACCATAGATCTCTGATAAATCGAAGGGGGTCAGCTGACTAAGCAGACATCACCAAACCAGTACTGATTGGTGTAGAAAATATAGGTCTAGCCCTATATGCCCAAATCACCTGAAGGTGAGGAAAAGGGTCCTTTATTTTAACACTGTTACTAAACACTGTTACTATATATTCTTCTCTTCTTCTTCTGCCTTTCTATCCCCCAATGGAGCATAGGCTCTCAACCAACTCACGCCAAGTCGTTCTATCCTTCGCCATTGCATGGAGCTCTCCCCATGTCCTCCCAATCTTTCTAACCTCGTTCTCCAGCTCTCTTCTCCATGTGTTTTTTGGCCTTCCTTTATTCCTATGCCCCTGTGGGTTCCAATGCAAAGACATTCTAGTTATGCTGTTCTCCTGTTTTCTCAGTGTGTGCCCTATCCAACGCCAGCGTCTTTTCCTCACTTCCTGATCCACTGGAGCCTGTTTAGTTCTCTCCCAAAGTTCTACATTAGTTATTCTATCATACCATTTTATTCCCTCTATTCTGCACAGGCACCAGTTAATGAATGTCTGTAATTTATTAGTAATTTCTATTCTGCACAGGCACCAGTTAATGAATGTCTGTAATTTATTAGTAATTGCCTTGGTTGTTCTCCATGTTTCCGTGCCATACAATAGTACTGATTTGACATTAGAATTAAAAAATTTTTAGTTTAGTATTTCTTTTGACCTCCACAAACTCCCTAGTGCTATGAAAGCCCCTCTTGCCTTTTGTATTCTTATTTTAATATCTCTATCAGTTCTTCCATCTTTATCTACATTACTGCCTAAATAGGTGTACGACTTCACGTCTTGGAGTGGGGTGCCATTAAGAGAAACCACATTACTATTTGCCTGATTTATTCTCATTATCTTTGTCTTTCCTTTATGGATTTTCAGACCAAGCTGCTGTGATCTCGCATTAAGTATATTTAATTTATCTTGCATCTGATTCCATGAATGGGACAAGAGCAATATCATCAGCGAAGTCCAGATCATCAAGCTGTTTTGTAGGGGTCCACTGAATTCCATTCTTGGTGTTAGCAGTTACTGTTTTCATAGTCCAGTCTATAGCCAGTAAAAATAAGAGAGGTGACAAAAGACATCCCTGTCGCACACCTGTTTTTATTTCAAATGCATCTGTTACTATATATGGCACTCAATAAGACATACATTCTGCGGAAAATATGAAAAAAATCCCATAAACTTGAAATCTCAAGTTCCCTTCTTGTTCTATAGTAGTTTACTATTGCTACAAAAAATATGTTTCCTATGCTAGATTTTATACACAAACATTTCTACATGGTAAACTTTATCTGTTTTTTTATCATATTAGTGTTACATATTTGTCTGCTATCAGTAGCTGCTTCTTCTTCTTCTTCACTTCCTCTTTTACCACTGTGGGTGTCGAGGGAGATATAAGGTTCTGTTTCTAGCTCTTCTGGCCGCCTCGACCATAGTAGCTTATTAATATTCTGAAAAGTTGCTTTTATAGTCTTGGCACCGAGACAAATGTAAAGGGTTAATGAGTAAGTTCCCCTGGTGTTAGAAATCATTGTAACCATTTATTAAATAAGATAAGCTAAAAAAAAAAAAAGCTTGATCATCCATGTCCATCAGCAAGGCACTTAAAGAGGTAAATCTGTCTTTATTCTTGTTTGCCTCAATTATTAATTCATTCTCACATCATGTTAACAAAAAAAAAAAAAAATGAATGCCCATATTATATAAGCATTTGGTTTGATATGTCACTCGCCCATGCTGGCATCTTGAATTTCTCTTCTATTGTTCAGTTTGTTCTATGCCACTGATTCTCTCCCCCTCCTGCCTGTATGTGACTGTGAGGTGGACCTGGCTGTTCGCTCTCCCGACCGATGCCTGTCACTCAAACCTCTTCGGCCTGGGTCTCGTGGTGCAGGCTGCGTGGGTTCTGGCACAGGGGGTCGCACCCTACGAGGAGGTCGAGGTTCCTGGGGTCGCCACTGGCTGGAACTTTCTTTATTAGTTGAATATACGCCTTGTTGTAAATATTTCTTCTGGGATTCCTGCCAAAATACACAGGTGAAACATTATAATAATCAAGAAAAATAATAACTGATTGCACAGCCATGACATATTCTGTTGCAACTTCTTTTTCGCTTTCCCCAGCTGTGATCTCTAGCGGAAAATTGTGGATGTTCGTCCACAACCAGACTTTCATCTTGTTCTAGAACCTAAGTGTTGCGTGCACATCCATTTCACAGGTCTGGCTTATCAATATACAGGCTTGTTGGTTCCTTGCCTCTCAGGCAGATGTACTCTAACCCTGAAGGATGCTCCCACTCCTATGACATGCTTTTTGGGGAGGTAGTGGGTCTATTCTCATTTTATCCTAATGGGCTCCAGAACCTCCATGGGGATTCTGCTGCTTCTCATCATGTGTCTGTGTTAATCTGTGTAAAGATTCAACATCACAGCATTCAGGACAAGCCATATTAACTCCGACCCTCTCCTCAGCAGCCAGCAAAGTCTCCATACTGATGTTAAACTATTCATTTTGCCTTTTCCCTGAGACTTGCATGGCACCCACAGCTGCAAACTCCCTGCTGCATTATTCTCTCTAGGTATTGGTTTTCAAAATCTCACATTTTACCAGTTACCTCATCCCATAGGTGATAGATCACCTTTGCCTTGTGCAGTTGCAGTACACCACTGTGTGGAGGCCAGCCCAGCCACTCTATCTGCTCATTCTCATAAACACATGCACAGCCCAGAAAACTGCTTATTTCATGTGCAGGAGCAAAGTTGGACGTATCCATCTCATATACTGTATTGGATAATTCCTTGGCTCACTGTCTGAGGGTCTTCAAATTAAAACCATAGAAATGTGATAAAAATTACAATAACCATGCTATTGTCTTGTAACATGTGAGCATTGCTGTTAAGGATGTCAAGAGTGTTAAGCATGTGGTGCAACAAACACAGTGACAGTTTAAAGTGGGGTGTCATTAAGACATCACCGTGTTTTTGAAATTTCTATCACACGTTCAATGTTTTCATTTGAAATCCTCTTGTATTACAACAATGACATGACTGCTTCCACTACATACAAAAGATGTGAAAGTGATATTTACCAAAGTATTTTCATTTCTGCTAGAAAAATATTCACTGGATTTGTTGTCCGGAGCATCAAAACTCTCATCCTTCAAGTTGGAACTGCGTGCCCGGATACACAGGTAGATGGCCAGCAGAATCACAGCGATCACAACAATGCTGCCAGCAACAGCAATGCCGGCAATAACACTGGGCTCCAGAGTCTGTCCTGTCCAACTGGCTGTGTCCTTCTCAAACTCCATGGGAGGACCTGTTCAGAGAAAAATTGTGAATATTTTAATGAACAATTTGTTACAGATCACTCTATTCTGTGCAATAATAAATAAGCAAAAGAAACTGACTAATGACTTGCATAAATACCCAGTTCTGAAGAAGGAAATTAAAAGAATAGACCCACTGTCTCCCTAACAAGTCATACAATTGGACTAATTAGGGATTTTCCTTCAAAATCAGAGTGCATCTGCCTGAGAGGTAAGTAACAAACAATCTAGATATAAATAAGCCATATTTGTAAAACGGATGTGCATGCAAAACTAAAGTTCTCAATCAAGACCTAGATCCAGGAGTGGATGAACAACCAGAACTTTGAGCCGAAGTTTACAGCCAGTGTGCTCTAAGAAAAAGACAGCACATAACAAGACAGTATTTTCTTTTTATTTACCCCACTGAGTGAAATTCAAAATACCCTAAATATTCAAAATATGTGGCGCTGTGATTTCTGTCACAGGCGTGAGGTAACGTTAAGTCCAACGTGATGTGTATAAGGAGATACTTCATACATCACTCGGGCACCAGTCCTTCAACTGTTCTGGTTTTACGGAACCTCACGCAAGACTCCTGCAGCACGTCCTCGTTGTGCACCACTTATAATGTCTCAAATTAGCATTAACAGAGCTGTCAGGGGATCTTGGAGTTGGCGGCCCCTATAAGTGTAGTGTCCTTGTGGCTCTCATCAGCCCGCCCCCAAGCGCATGGGTGAAAAAGTTTATCAAAACTCATTAGGAACATGAGTAAAATCTGACAAATGTTCAACTAAAATGACAACCCTTGGTTAAAAGTTTGTGGAGTGAAGAGAACATTTTGCTGCTGAGACTCAACCCTTGACCAAGAGATTTACCCGCAGCTCAGACGAGTAACCTCTCCCGTGGGTGGCGTCTTGCAGCAAGATTCTACCCATGTATATCCTCTGTCAACCCTCAGTGTCATCGTCACCGTACTGAGGTACACCACGACAGCAACAGTCCATCATGTGGCTAAGCCCAAATGTCCAACAAAAATAGATCCTACGGCACATGAGCAAGCTCAAAATCTGACGATCATAAATCATACTGATAGGAAAAGGTCCAAATGTCCACATCCCAAGACCCCACTCGCAAGGGTGTTGGGACCAACAGATAAAGATATGCCTGATGCAGGATTCTCCATTCCGCCTGCTAACGGCTTATTAAGGATGTCAAACATGCGACGAAATAGAATGTACCTATTTGTGTGGTCACAAAAGTCCAGAACCCGCGGGCTGCTCCCTGCTGATCTCCAAGTGGGAGGTCTAATACGGTTTTGAGGTTAAACAGACATGTGCAGGACGTGACGATTCCTTGGGTGAGCCTAGAACCAGAGCATCATGTGTCGGCTCTGCATTTATGGAAGCCTCTTTCGGATGGCGGGGAATGCCCATAATCTGCCCCTACTTCCCTTGAGGGCTAACCGTTCCACATAGGGCTGCCCCAAAGGGGGTACTCCGGGGGCAACACCTGTAGAGAAAGGGACAAAGACACCACACAAATCAGGCAACATCTCGACCCACACAAAATAATGGCCACAGTCATCCTAGAAATAGGCCTGATGTCTTCCCTCGAAGTCGGAGCACATCTGCCCGCGAGGCAGTGAATGGCAAAAGCCAGTAAAACAGTTGTACACACAAAACTTAGGTCCAGGTAAAAGCCAAAAGCCAAGCAGACGATTAACCCGGACCTTCCGCCGGAATTCACAGCCGGTGAACGAAGAAGAATTCAAAATATATTCAAATTTCTTGAGTGGGCACCTGGTGCAGTCCCAGGAAATAAAGGTGGCCGGCATGATGCTGACCTCGTTACCCATCTTGTGCCGATTGGTCTTTAAAAAATATAGGTCTAGCCCTATATGCCTAAAGGCGTGGAAAAGGGACCTTTGCTTTTACTTATTCTTTTTATATTCCAATTTCAATTGACTTTGCCCCAGCTGAAATGAAATAAATATAACTGATATATTTAACCATTTAAATAGAAACATGGCTTTACAATCAATCATAAGCAATGATATGTGTTTCTGGGGTCAAATTAAATCATAAGCAATGATATATGTTTCTGGGGTATATGTTTAGGAGGTCACAAAAATGACAATATACGCATGCCCACAAGCAATAAAATAATGCAGTGTATTTTGTTGACCCTCTGACCTAGTTACAGCGCCCTCTGTGGTCATGCTGGACAATGCAGCAAGCAATCTGATCTGTTGAAAAACTCATTATTAATACACATGTACCTACAGTTCAATGGTATTTTTCGTGTTCCCCCATAACTATCTGATGTGACAGGAAGAACACAAAAACAATTCCTCAACAAACAAAAACAAAACATTTTTAGCCAGATTACATTAAAAAAAACATAACAATTCTATTTAATGACCAAAACAATATTTAACAGTAAAAAAAAATAATGGGTGTAAACACACACAAAAACATGGATGTGACATGAATATTTAACATGACCAATTGTAGACTTCATAACCCAGTCATCAGCTATCACTGTAACTAAAAAGGCATTGTGGTATTTTAATTTCTATAAATTCTTCTTCTTTCGTTTGCTTGAAATAAATTATCTATACCTGCAATGTTGTCCCTAGTATGAACTTCATTGTCTTTTGTACTTCATTTAGCGGCCCGTAAAGTTTGGCTTCCACCAGTGTCTCTCTTGCCCAGAAATTTTGTATCTGTTGTCTCAGGTGCCAGTCCACAGGTGTACATGGCTGATTGGCCAGTCTTACATTTTGCTGCCAAGTCGACTGTCCTGTTCTAAGGCATAAAATGACTTGTTCTGGTCTGTCCATAAAATGGTAATTGTCTTGAGCCAGTTTTGGTGGCTTTTTGATTGACTGCTTTGATTATTCTCTTCTACTGTTTTCTTTAAATAAAGCATTTTTCACAAGGATTACCCCCTTCCCCCTCCCCCAAATGCTATTTCTAGCAACTATCTGCATTCCTGGTCATTCCACAAAGTTGCCTAGAAAAAAAAAAAACCCACATAAATAATGGTATCAGCAGCTGAGATTCTGGTAAACAAACCTCTTTAACAAGCCAGGAAATTGACATTTATGAGAAAATGGCAAAAATCATTTTTTGACATTTGATGGGATTTAGAAAGCAAGGCCAAGGGGTAGTCAAAAGAGATGTAAAATCGGCGCATCTTGCGTTCATTGGGCCTCTAGGCCGGAACCTATGAATGTATGATCCATTCCTTGGGACTCAAGTTAAGGATATTTATATCCTCATGGAAAGAAAACAGCCACTGTCACCCTGTCAGAATTGGATGGGTCAAGAGGAAGTAGATGATTAAAACATAATTCATCGCTAACATAATTCAAAATGTCAAATACAAAAATCAACTATACACACATGTTCATAATTGTAACTGACTCACAGAGGCATGTTGAGAAAGGTAGAGACATGCATGCTCCCTGCAGAGTGGCAAGCATCACTTAAGAGGTCCTGAGTAGTTAGACGTCCTCTGAATATTTTCTCCAGGTTATGCTGGTGTGTTGAGAAATAAGTAGGCAGACAGACTGGTCACTAGGTGGTGAACTGATGTATGACAAGCTAGATGTTGTTAAGGGCCTTTTAGGAGTGAGTGAACAGTGCTGAGACACAAATAGATCATTATGATATGAGGAGAATGCCACTGCAAGAAGTTACCAGGGAATATGGTCAACGCTTAACACTCAAGAGAAAAGTGAGACGGATATACGATCAGACAGTTACTGGTATCATCGAAACTCTTAGTTTGCTGTTGAAGATGGGGACGGAGGGCTTATGGGAGTGTCCTGAGTGCTGTGATGTTGACTCTTAATTCAACAAATAGTGTCAAATAACAGAAACTAAAACATCAACAACAAATGGTAATTTACATGATAATTGCAGCCACTAAAACTCTGGACCACCTATCATTTCAAAGCTCTTCTTGGAGAAAACCAGAATCAGTAAACTGGCCAGGGAATGTGAATGCTCACCCAAATCATTTCTGACCCTCATGGTGAAGGTGAAGGCTCTTGACTCGGGCGTGGTTTTCCGGACTCTTATCCGCAGCACGTTAAATTTGGTCTTTCCCTTGTATAGGAACCTTACTGTTGTAACTGCAGGTGATTGAGTACTGTAAATAGTCGAAACACTTAACATCATTATTTCTTCTTCTTATTTTAAAAAAACTAAAGAAAAAATTGACTACGTTCTGTTTTTACCATCATCTTAGGGCAGCGTTGACAGAGAGGTCATGAGCCTGAGGATTTAGGGCCACATGGCTAATGCTGCCGCAATGGACTGTACAGGTTAGGATGTTTAATTCTGTCCGCCAACAGAAAACATTATTACCTTTCTGGAGGTCGAACCCCGGTCTTCCACATAGGAGCCCAATGTTGTAACCATTCGGAAAACTTCTACTTTCGTTTGCCTGAAACAGGTTGTCTATATCAGCAATTTGTTTTTGCTGTCAAACTGCAGCACACTTGACTGATGGACATTTGAACTTAAGCAGCCATGCAGTAAAAGAGAAGGCTCGGTCGACAAATGTTTTGAACCAAGGTTTGTCATACAGTAAGACCTTTCATTTACAGACTTCTGAACATGAATGTGTCATTTAGTAGGAGTAGGATACTTGACTAGTGGACTTCACACACATTCCAAATGAGTTTTTCATGAATATTATCAACAAGACAAGTGGAAAAAAAATTTGTTGGGGGGGGGGGGGGGGGGCTTCAAGATCCCCTGTCAGCTCGGATTAGGCCAATATCCATAGCAACGGTTGTCTAGCAACCATGTCAGAGTATACTGTGAAATTCAAAATATGTCCCTTTTCTCCATACTTTGATCAAATATAAATTTTTTAATATTATTTTTGTACATCTATTCAAGCTTTCTACATCTTCCTTTTGCATTTTTTACCTAATAATTTCCAACACACAGTTAATGTGCCTTTTCTACTTCTCATATTCTTCTTTTTATTAGCATTGAATAGCTGTAAACCACATCGTTGTTCATCCACTCCTGAACTTTGATCTTGATCTACAACTTTAGTTTTGTGTGCACATCCATTTTTCAGATCTGGCTTAGTTGTATGCATAATGTAGGTTCCTTGCCTTTCATGCGATGCGCTCCGACTTTGAAACACACATCTCTAATTTGTTGCCTCCTATGACATGCTTGTTAGGAAATATAGTGGGTCCATTCCTTTTTTCTCCAAAATGGAGCCCCAGAACCCACATTAGGACCTCTTCTATTAATTCATTATATGATAACATAACCCTTGACCCTTTAGGGTCGTGAAGGTGTATTGATGGAAGCACTATCACATAAAACACGCCATCTTTCTCTGTCTTTTGCTTGATGAATAAGTGTATGATAACTCAGTCCTGTCAATTTCTTGATGTTTTCATTCCAGTTTCTTCTTTGCCCTCCTCTTCTTCGACTACCCCCAATGTTCCTTGAAGCACGGTCTTGTAACATGATGGCTACATACAAAACAATGTCCCACCAAATCTGTTGTATTATACAGGAATTCTTGGACCCATACAGCGGTACACTGCCAGTGTTTGCTAACTGTGCAATGGTTGACACAGGAAAAAATTGAATAAAATAAAGTACAATAAACCTGGCACTCAAAAACCACAGTCCCAACTGTATCCAATGAATGCTATAAATCTCCTCAGTATTCATATTGAAGCTAGATGCTTTAGCTAAATGTTGAATTAAGAATCAACACCATAGCACTTGGGACAATCCCATAAGTGCTCCGTCCCCATCTTCAACAGCAAAGGAAGAGTTCCTATTTCAATTGTACCAGTAACTGTCTGATTGTACATCTGTCTCCCTTGAGCATCCGCCAGATCCCCTGGTAACTCCTGCAGTACCATTCTCCTCAGACAGTGATTTAGCTAAGAAGAGCACAAATAATCAATTTCTTTCTTTTATGTGAGTAAATGTAGATAACCAACTTTATTTTTAGAGCAAGCATGTTATGTAATTGAGGTCACTGCACATTGGATATTCTCATGCATGCTCAGTCCTCTGATGCAGCAGCCACTCTACGGTACATCTACTGATCGTTTCTATAAGAAGCTGGTTATAGTGTCTTTTGTCTTGACCTTGAAGATGGCATATACATGCTTCACCAAGCTTTACTCCTAGGTCACACAATGGTGTTAGCATCATCAGGCGTTCATTATTAACCTACAGCCTAGTTTATACAGCATTGATGATATCAGCTGTACATGCTTCTTCCCATTTGTTTTGGTGCACTACTTGCCAGCTGGTCATCTCTTTACTCCTGCATGCCCAGGTATACAGATCCAGATGATGGAGGTTAACTGCGACTTCCAAATGTATTCCACCCATTCCAAGCTAGACAATCTGTTTTAATTTTCTGAAGCATGTTCATGTAGTCCGAAACAATTACCGCACATGTGTGGAACAAGCAAGGCATATGAAAAGCACAAACTGAAAACAATAAAACAGGTAACTTACAATTGGGTTGACGTCAATAGTCGGGTTGTCATACATAATAATCTCCACGCCACATTCGTTAAAGTAAATCGTTTCAATCAGGTACTGAATTCTACGACCTGGATCTGCCCGAATTGTCACATCGCAGTGGTCACGGGTAGCTATGACATTATACTGTGGGTATGCAAATAAGGCAATCGTGTCGTCTGCACTCTTGAGGTAGTATCCATCCAGGCTGTCACATCCAGGGCCTGTCAAATCCACTGTACAGTAGATAACAAAGTGAAAGATTACAAAAGGGAATCAGCATCACATGAAGCATATCAAACAAACTAACTAACAGCTACTTCTACTTCTTTGTTCACCGACAGTAAGCTCTGGGTAAAAGTTCTGGTTGTTCATCCATTTGGACTCTGGCTTTGTGCCAGAGCCTGAGTTTAGTGTGTACATCTGTTTTACTGGCTTATTTGTGTGCAGACTGTTGGTTCCTTGCCACTCGGGCAGATGCACTCCAACTTCAAAGGAAGTCCCCAGTTAGTCGACTCCTATGACAAGCTTGTTGGGAAGGTAGTGGGTCTATTCTTGTTTCTCCCACAATGGGGGCCCGGAACCCACATAGGGAAATTCACATTCTCCTTCTTCTGTGTTCATGCTTAAACAGCTGTGATTTACAGCTAGGCTGGGTATCTGCACCTTTCAGTTCAACACATCCAATTTTAGCCGAGCCCTAATTACTCACCTTTTACGGCTTGTTTAAGGGCACTAAGTCTGCTGCTGTGATTATTTACACAGAAGATGTTACCAAACAAATATGCAGCCTAACGAACATCACTCCTGTGCAGATTGGATACCCGCGCCTCATGAGCTTTATTTGTACATTTTCCTGTTTGCTGCATTCAACAGGCGATGCAGGAGCAGAATCTTGTTGCTGTCAATGCAGAGGTCAACACTTTCCGGCAACTATACTGCCACCGTCGAGAGTATCTCCCACGCTGTTCACGAGGAGCGGGGCTAAACTAGATGGCTGGGAGACACAAGGAAATAAAACGGAGGAAGCTGCAGGAGATGCGGTAGCTGCTGCTCATGAGTCCCAGCCATCTAGTTTAACCCCGCTTCGCGCGGCACGGGGAAACTCTGCAGTGACTTTAACTCGGCGGAAGCTTTTCCACGGTATGTGGTGTAGTTGCCGGAAAGAGGTCCGCAATTTACATGTGACTGAGGCTCTGTTAGGGTATATTTTCGGCCTTAATTATTTGGGACTGTTATTCAGAGGGTAGCCTAGAAATGTCCCAATTATAACTTCTTTAGGTGGGTTGAACAGGGTATCTGGAATCTGCCCGGCTAGCTAGTAATCTTATGGCGGTGAAGCCTTCAGATGGCAGCCCTGAGAGAAGAAAGAGAGAAAGAAAATGTGACTGTAACAAATCTATGGAATATTTACCTGTATAAATGTAACTATTCCTGACTATCTGTTTAGTGTAAAACTCGTTAATTTAGTAAATAAAAGGTAGAAAATATACTCACCATTTGTGACAGCTGATAGTGTTGGTGGGACTGCCAGAACAGCAAAGACAACCAATCGACACAAACCCTCCATGGATATAGATTGTCACTCACCAACTTCCCAAACTATTCAAAAATCAAATTCCTGTCCGATATAAACACACAATAATACACGGTAGGTATATCAGTGAAAGTACTACTATTATCATTAAACATTGATTGATCCAGGTAACACTCGGAAAGCGGAAATGGACATTTCTTCAATAATTTTTGTGGTTTCCTGAGTTATCCGATCCGACAGTTAAGTTGTGCAGTAAATTATTGTCTAGAAATGATCAGGGTTGTAAGAGTTTATATCATTTTATGTCTACCGTGCTGAAAAGAGCTGTAATATAGTCGTAGTTCGTGAGGTAGCCTAGAAAACTGGAGTGTCATTCATAAACAATGGGGACACGCAGATGTGACAGTTACTGCCACCTGGTGGACAGGTGACAGACAGCAGGTGTGCCTAAGCTTGTTCTCACATACAGGGGTGTCACCAGGAAAAGAGATAGAGAAAAAGAAAAAGAGGGGGTACTTTCATTGTATCTCCCCCAACCCACCCCCCCCCCCCAAAAAAAAAAACCGGGAAACCCCCTGAATCTCAGAAAAAGTCCAATATTATAGAGGTCTTACAGTTTGAAATGAACACTGCCTAGCCCTAACAGTCAAATTTTCTGTGATTTCGGGATCCGCAGTGTTTGGTGGTAAGCTAAAATGAAAGTACCCGGGGGGGGGGTGAGGTATAGTAGTATACCGCTAAGGATGTCACAGTGTGAGGAGTAATTCTACCGGGGGCGCTAAAACATAGGAGCTTAACCGCACTGAGCACTCCCCTCCCCCTAATCTATAAGTTAACTATGCTGCGACCCCTAACAACGTATAGAAGCTCCCGTGGTTTTTGTGTGTGTGTGTGGGGGGCGGGGGTCTTTGTTTATACATGTCGTGTAAGTTCAAATATATCACGTTATTGTTTTTTTTTTTGGGGGGGGGGGGGGCATTCTCCTTTTTTCTTGTAGTCTGTGCCGTGTGGCACTGGTATCTTCTTTCTCCTTTCCCTATCTCTTTCTCCCTTCAACTTTCCCACCGTCGCAGTGTACAGGGCACAACAGTTACAGCGGTAACCGAGCCAGAGGTTGACCACGCAGAGAGTGGACCGCGAAAATATCACACTGAAAAGAACTACATACAAAGGGAGTAGAAGGGAACGTTCCAATGATCTCTTCCTGTCCTGACGCTGCGAGGCATTCCAGGTGTAGAGAAGAAGAAGAAGAAGAAGAAGAAGAAGAAGAAGAAGAAGAAGAAGAAGAAGAAGAAGAAGAAGAGGAAGAGAAGAAGAAGAAGAAGAAGAAGAAGAAGAAAAGGACGTTTTCCAGATTCATTCTTTTCATAGCATGACCAAAAAATGTCGATTCTGTCCTTCAGATATGAGTAGTTTCTTTCAAGACATCGTCATTACTCTTTTTATCTGTCGAGGGTATTTTCATCATTCATTTATAAAACCATATCTCTGCTGTTTCCACACAATTTTTCACTAATCGTCCAACTGTTAATGATTAACCAGCGTGTATCATTATAAGATTTATGTCGCTCTTAAGAGCTTACTTTCTCGTCTAAATAGTCAAAGAAACATTGCAAACAATATTTATGTGGTAAAATGCAGCTTTTGCTTGAGCTATTTTGTATTTAACTTCTTTAATACATCTTCTATCAGCTGTTAACATGATACCCAAGTACATAAACTATCAGCTGTTAACATGATACACAAGTACATAAACTATCAGCTGTTAACATGATACCAAAGTACATAAACTATCAGCTGTTAACATGATACCCAAGTACATAAACTATCAGCTGTTAACATGATACCCAAGTACATAAACTATCAGCTATCTATGTTTGAGGTTTCAAAAATTTTAATAATTTCCTCATTTCGCTATATCAAATGCTTTTCAAAAGCCTGGAAGGGATAAGTCACGTCTCATGTATTCTTATTTCCTCTCAGTGAAGTCTTTATTTACGGAATCCATTGAATTAACACCCGTATTAGCAAGATGCCCCGGGTGCTGTGATGTCAGTTCTTGAATCAAATCAAATTAATCACATATTTGAAAGAAGTTTTAGTTGAAGTTATAGCAAAACAAATGAAAAACTATTGCTGTGTTTTGTGTGTTTTATATATATATGGTGAAGGGAGAACACTGACCTGCGAAACCTTTATTAGGTTAATGATGTTCTACCTCCCTTCTGTCTACTATAATTTCAAGTGTAGACGTCACAATATATTTCCTATTTTTCTACATGGGCCTACATTGTAAGGTAAATTAATTCATTAACTGGTTGTAAATTTTCACGAATACTGACCGTTTTAACTATCAAGCTCCATACGTTGTCTTTCACTGATGGGCAGCTACGGAAAGAAACAATCATCTGACAAAACATATCCTGCAATGAGCAAATCTCTCTCTCTCTCTCTCTTTCTCTCTCTCTCTCTCCTGTTGTACACCACCAGGACATCACACAAGCGATAAACACCCAGTGACACAAAGTGCCACCATGCGGATGAGGATAACCCGTGAAAAGGTCCCAGAAATCCCGTTCAGCCGTTAGGCCATATTTAAGGCCCGGCTATATTTGGGGCCCCCGGCAAAAGCCAGGGTGGGGCTTCAAAATAACTAAAAATTGCATCCCACATGGGGACGACAGTAATTATTGGCAATGAGCAAATGGCCCAATATTCTAACAGCGGAAAGTTTTGAACGGAACTCGCAACATGATGTTCAATTTGTCTACTTACTAGATACATTAGTAGCATCGATAAGCAGTCGCTTCACAATTTTTTGGGAGCAATGTGAATTTCTACAAAAGATCATTATCTTAATATTTCCTGTTAAAATGGGCCACTGTTCTTTGTCGTGGCAAATATGTTTTTACTTCTGATAGACGGTGGCGGTTGCATTTTCCTCCATTTTTAGACTAAAAGGATATAGTTTTGTCGCCCAGCTACTGAGCGGTGTGCATGGCGCGACACCGTTTGGAATGTATCTCGACATTGACCAATGTGATGTTGTGAATTGTACAATCAGAAAGTGGCGCGTGGCCTTTTGCCACCGAATTGGTCGTGCCTTAAATGATTAAAATTGATCGCATGTGCAACTACCGATCTGCTTGTAACTGCTATTTCCGTCGATGACGATCTGCATTTCTAATGTCAGACTGTTTTTTGTTAGCACCTCCAATGGCTGCCTTATGCTTTCAATTCTTGTGCGCGTTCGTGGATATGCTGAGACTGCAGTCCGTGTAAGTTTTTCTACAATGACGATTCTGTGTTTTTCGTTGGCATGGGAGCGGAGCAACTTTGTGTGGGTGACCCGTTAGCTATGAATCTGAAACCAAGATTACTAAGATTTAATATTTAAAATAAATAAATAAATTACCTGCCGTCTCTACCCACTGTTGTCTTTGGAAATATTATGAGGAAAAGCTCCAGTCCCTTCACTCTCGTACCATT